TATATAATTTTTTCTTTTATTCTACATGTCTGATGCCTGCAGAGGTCAGAAGAGGGTGTGTCAGATCCCCTGGAACTAGAGTTACAGACGGTTGTGAGCTATCCAGTATGAATGCTGGGAACTAAATGCTGATTCTTTGTAAGAGCAGTGCACACTCTTTACCTCTGAGCCATCTCTCAGCCCCCCAGACCTCTTTTTACTTTTAATTTGGCAACAGGGTCTCACTAAATTTTCCAGTCTAGTCTTGCCCAACAGTATTTTGCTTTTTAAACAACTGGTATGTAAGTATGAACACATCTTTTGTTTACATTTATTTATTTATTCATTCATTCATTCATTCATTCATTCATTCATTCATTTTATGGGTATGTGCCTTTACCCACTGAATCTTCTCATCAGCCCTGAACACATCTTTTGAGATGCTAATCAACAAATGTTTTCAAGCACATGAAACAGACAAAATTGGCCTGCATTAAATAATTGTGGCTGGAATTCTAAATGTGCACAGGCAGAATTGGAAAGATCTTGGTTTCTTTTCTTTTTTTCTTTCTTTCTTTCTTTCTTTCTTTCTTTCTTTCTTTCACAGAGATTGCATTTTCATACACTTCTGTTTAGGAAATCTAAAGGGTCTCCCTGTAGCCCCAGCTGTCCTGGAACTCACTATGTAGACCAGGCTGGCCTTGAATTCACAGAGATCCACCTGCCCTGCCTCCTGAGTGCTGGGATTAAAGGCATGCACCACCATGTCTGACGGTTTCTTTTCTTTTTTAAAAAAATATTTTATTATTTTTTTTATTTTATGTGTATGAGTGTATTGCCTACATATATGTGAGTGCATCCGTGTCGTGCAATGCTCCTGAGGTCAGAGAGAGCTTTGGATTCCCCTGGAACTGGAGTTAAGAACAGTTTGTAGCCGCTATGTGGATGCTGGGGATCGAGACTGGGTCCTCTGCAAGAGCAGTCAGTGCTCTTAACTGGTAAGCCATCTCTCCAGTCCCGATCTTGGTTTCTTAAATGCTAAACAGCAATGGTGAAATATTCACAGCCTCCTGACCATTTCCAGCAATTTTAAGAATCCCTTTCACGATGGTACACAGGATTCCATTTTCATAAGCTGTTGATTCTACTATTATTATTGTACTGGGGATGGAGCCCAGGGCCTCATACATGCTAGGTAAGTGCTCCACCACTGAGTACATTCCAGCTGTGGAAGATTTTTTAAGATAAAAATACTTAATTCTAGTATAGTGCTTTGTAGCAATACTTATCAAACAATTATTGTGCAAATAATCTCCAAACTCCAGAATGTTGTTAAAATGCAGATTTTTGGGTCAGTAGGTTGGGGTTGGCACCTAAGGCTCTGCATTTTCAACAAGTGCCCTGGACACTCAGAGTCTGGAGATCATTCAAGAGGACACTGAGACTGGTTACTGGGGTTCTAAGGAGTTTATTAGAAGAATTACTAATGACATGGATGGGGGCAATCTCATGGCAAGGGCTCAAAGGAGAGTTCAGCCACATTTCCAGAGACAGACAGCATGTAAGGGTCTCTAAAGAGAACCAGAGGGGTTGGAGAGATGGCTTGGCTCAGCAGTTAAGAGCACTGGCTGTTCTTGCAGAGGACCCAGGTTCAGTTCCCAGCACATAGTGGCTAACAACTGTCTGTAACTCCAGTTCCAGGGGATCTGACACCCTCTTCTGACATCTGAGACCACTGCACAACACAGATGCACTTACATACTTTAGGCAATATACTCATTGACATAAATTATGAGAACCAGAGCCCATGTGGCTGAAGAGGGAGGCTCTTCTATCATTTGAGGATGTGGGAGGCGGGGGGGGGAAGAAGAAGAAAAGAAGAAGAAGAAGAAGAAGAAGAAGAAGAAGAAGAAGAAGAAGAAGAAGAAGAAGAGGAGGAGGAGAGACAGGAGGCCCTTGCCTGTAGACAGAGCTACAGGTTTGAAGGAAAAGACTCTGATTCTACTTGATGTGAGCACCAAGAACCCAGTCAGGACAGTCAGTGAGAACTTCCTCTCTCTGCAGCTGGATCCCTCCATCATTCATGATGGCTGGCTCGATTTCTTAAGGTAAGGCAGGGGCTTCCATGGATCATTTAAAAAAATTTAAGTACCCCACCCCCATTCTCTTCCTATCCCCTGCTCCAAAAGGAGGAAGAAGAAGAAGAAGAAGAAGAAGAAGAAGAAGAAGAAGAAGAAGAAGAAGAAGAAGAAGAAGAAGAAGAAGAAGAAGAAAGGCTTACAGCAAGAATCTGTGATTTCATGGCCAGGCTCTCTGATTTCCAGGAAGGAGCAGAGAAGCAGTGGGGGAACAGGATGTGGCACATCTTTGATGTAGACTCACTTCCCAGGTGAGTGTGGTACAGTCTGCCTGTTCCCTTGGTTTCATAGTCAATGTTCCAGTAGGGTGCCTGTCAGTGTTAGTGAAAGGGGAAGAGTTGCTGCAAAGCAGGGCTGGATTTTAACATTATATTCTAACAACATAGATATGGTATAATGAGCTGGAAAACCAACAAGTGGAACAAACTCAAAGGACATGCAGGCAGATAGTAAACAGCTGGAGTTGATGACTTTCTGTGTGTAGAGCACTGCATCTGACCAACTGTGGAAAGTATTCAGAAAAAAAAAACTGCGTATGTATGGAATCCGTACAGAATTCATTTTCCTTGTCGTGCATGATTCCTGAAAATACAAGCTAACAAATATTTACATAGCATTTACATCTTATTAGATATTATACATAATGTGGGGACATTTAAAGTATATGGGAGGGAAGGCTGGAGAGATGGCTCGGCGGTTTAAGAGCACTGACTGCTCTTGCAGAGGTCCCGGGTTCAATTCCCATCACCCACATGGAGGCTACTAACTGTCCTTAACTTCAGTTCCAGGGGAATCCGAAGCCCTCTTCTGACCTCCGCCGCATTGCACGACACGGGTGCACTCACATACACGCAGGCAGTATGATACGGGTACAACTCACATACAGGCAGGCAATACACTCATACACATAAAATAAAAATATTAAATAAAATATATTGAAAGTATATAGGAGGAAGCCCGCAGATAAGTTATGACTTGAATATCTCGGGATTTAAATAGCGATCAGAACCAGGCAGGAAATAAAAGGGTTGGCCAGGGCCGGGGGTGGGGGTGGGGGGCTTTAATGTGGGGAGGTGACCGATCGGACGGAAAGAGGAGATACCACAAGTTCAGCAGCAATCTCGGGGCAGGCACCAGGAAGTTCCTCCCGCCGAGCTCAGGGAGGGAAGACCTAGGTCAGGGAGGGGAGACCCGGAGGCTGAGGGAAAGGGAAGGCACGTTTCAATTTGAGTTCCAAGTTAAGTACTGAGGGTTGATGTAGATGACTGACTGGGCTGGGATTCGCTTTAGATCACTCTGGTTGCTGTGTGGGAAAGCGAACGTCTCCCAGGTCACCTGGGAGCTAGTGTAGGGTGTCCCGGGCCGTGTGTGTGTGTGTGTGTGTGTGTGTGTGTGTGTGTGTGTGTACAGAAGACAGGTCAAGCCCCTGGGGTCCCGAGGATCAGCTTGGGGCTCGAGTCCCCATGTGGACCGCGAGCCCACCTGGGCGCTCCATTCTATTACTGCACATAGGACATCCAACTCCTGTGCTCTGCGGAGCACCGCTTGAAAAGAAACCTTTGTCCTGTCTTTCTGAGGACCTGGGCCCCATCCACACTTTGCCTCCGAGACACTTGTCTTTCTCTGCCTGTTTCTCCAGCTGTCAAAGAGGACACAGCCCCACGCTAGGTTTCCAATCCTGCGGATGGGCTTCGGGCTTCGCGAGCAGCACGGAAGCGGTGGCCTCGGGCGGCTTTTGGGAACCCAGCTCCAGCCCCGCAGCTCCAGCTGCCCCACCTCGCAGGTCCCCCTCTGGAGCCCCGCCCAGCGCTGCCAGGGGCGGGGCTGGTGCAGCGCCCAGGACTCTAAGGGAGGGACCCTGGGCTGCGATCCCGACTCGCAGCGGGCTGCGGGGAACTCCCCCCCGGCCGCTGCGCGGACTGCGGGGCTCTCCCGAGTGCCGACCGAGCGGGCGCCCAGGTCCGGCGAGCGACCAGCAGCCAGTAGGGGGCGCTCGCCTCGTGCGCCGTCCCGCCCTCCGCGCCTCCTCCTGCGCCCCCGCCGGCCGGTGAGCGCCCGGGACAGACTGACTTCCGCGTCCCGCCGCCGGCCGCCGCCATCGGACAATGGGCCGCACGCCGCGGCTGCCGTGAGCTCCCGCCGGCTCGCCCCGACCTCAGCTGCCGCCTGGGGAAGCAGCGCACCCCCGCCGCCCGGTGCTCCTCTAGACCCGGACCCGGGTGGCAGACCGGCTGGTGCCCCGCGGGCTTCCAAGACCGGCTACCCAAGGTGGATGTGAATTTTTTTTTTTTCCCTACTCAAATGTCTCCAGCTTCTTTTCGTTTATCTCTTTCTGGGTTTATGACTTGGAGAAGAGCACAGAACTTTCCAGAGCAGGCTGGGTATAGCTGAAGGCCTCTCTGCCCCGCACGTGGACGCTCCCCAGGGGAAAAGAAGTTTGGAAGTCAACTTGGCTGGCCTGGAGGCCTCAACTTTGTCCCGACTGCAAGTTTTGGAGTCATGACCTTCGCGCTGGGCAGGTGGGAGTCTTTACCTGTCCTGGGCTGGACTTGAGCCCCGGCCGACACCAGTATCTGCACACCCCACTTACACCTGGCACCAGGAGTAGGCCCGGGACACCGATCTGCAACATGGATAAATATGACGACCTGGGCCTGGAGGCCAGCAAGTTCATCGAGGACCTGAACATGTATGAGGCCTCCAAGGATGGGCTGTTTCGGGTGGACAAGGGTGCAGGCAACAACCCTGAATTTGAGGAAACTCGAAGGGTGTTTGCGACCAAGATGGCCAAAATCCATCTCCAGCAGCAGCAGCAGCAGCTCCTGCAGGAGGAGGCCCTGCCCAGGGAGGGCAGAGGGCGGATCAATGGTGGGAGCCGCCAGGGCATGAACAGCAAGTTGACTGCAGATGGTGCTGCCAAGCCCCCTCTCGCAGCCCCAACAGTGGCTCCTGGAGTAGCTGCCACCACTGCGGCTGTGCATCCCTCATACCCACCCCAGGAGCAGAGGACCAGGCCTTCTGTCCATAGCACAAGGCCTAGCAGCCAGGACTGTGGGTCCAGGGAGGGGCCTGTGAATTCCCAGAGGTCTGTTTTCCAGGGTCCTGGCCCCTGTGAAGACCCTTCCTGCCTTACTCATGGAGACTATTACGACAACTTCTCTTTGGCAAGCCCACAGTGGGGCAACAGGCCAGAAGTGCCCCCCAGCATGGATCTGAGTGTAGGGAGTGAGTGGCCTGGCCGCTCAGGGAGTGATCCCCCATTGCCCAGACACTGTGGGGACCATCACCCTTACCAGCCACAGTTCTCAATGAACTCTGGTAGGTCTTTTGAAAGAGGCTTCAGTGGCCAGGATGGTGGCATTGGTGGCTGTAATAGTGAGAAGCCAGCAGGCCTTTGGTCCACTGCCTCCTCCCAGAGAGTGAACCCGGGCTTTTCTTTCCTGGGCTTGGAGAATGGGACCCCAGCTCAACCCAGGAGCACCACTGTTTCAGGACATCTGGACCCCGGTAACACCAGCCAAGGAGCTCGCCCACGAACAGACCTAAGGCTGGGGTGTGAGACTTCAGGAAGGGTCTCTAAACCCACTATGGACCCTCAGCCTTGGCTCCAGGATGGACCCAAGTCTTACCTTTCTATTTCTGCTCCTTTATCCTCTCCAGCTGACAAGGAAAGTGCCCAGCCAGGTATGACTTCTGGGCTGGGTCCTAAGCCCAGCTGCATGGACCCTGGCACTGGTCCCAAGCCCAGCCCCACCAGTCTTGTCCATCCGGTGATGTCCACTCCATCTGAGTTATCTTCTAAAGAGAGTCCTACCAGCTGGTCCCCTGACAGTAGCCTGGGACCAGTGCTCCCAGAGAGTCCCAGCTCCTCCAAGGTGAGATTGCCCTGTCAGACCCTTGTTCCTGGCCCTGAACTTGGACCCTCTGCTGCAGAGTTGAAATTAGAAGCCCTCACCCAGCGTCTGGAACGAGAAATGGATGCTCACCCCAAAGCTGACTATTTTGGTGAGTTGAGAGGTTGGTAGAGTTGCCCAAGGTCAGGTGATGGGTACCCTACCAGACTCCTACAGCTTGCCTTGAGTGGCCTGCTATTATTTTTTCCTTCCTCTTTCCACATCTTCTACTCATTCAGAAACTTGAAAGCATCTGTGGGTGGAAAGCAGACCTTGCAGCTGGAGTTACCCATGTGTGCAGGGTGAAGTGGTGTGGGATTGATTGCTCATGACTGCTCTCAAAAAAGGGAAACGCTGTAACTTTGGGTTTCAAGGTTTTGGGTTCCACTTTTGAGCCTCTTGCTTGCAGTGGCCAGCTCTGATGGGACTTGAATGGGAGTAGTTTTCTCATGAGCAGATATGTGGTTGATTTAGTTCTCAGTCACTCTGTGTATGAGTGTGTGGATGACGTGTACTTCCCTGCTGTTCAGGATGGCGATTCAGCAGGCAGACCTGGACCACCATCATCTTACCTGGGCCCTGGTTAGAAATAGAAATCCCTGGGGCCTGGAGACATGGCTCAGCGGTTAAGAGCACTGACTACTCTTGCAGAGGACCCGGGTTCAATTCCCAGCACCCACATGGTGGCTAACAACTGTCTATAACTCCAGTTCCAGGGGAATCCTATGCTTTCCTCTGACCTCTGTGGGCATTGCACGGCATGGGTGCACGTACACACATGCAGGCAATACGCACACACACACACACACACACACACACACAAATAATAAATAAAATACTTAAAAAAAAAATAGAAATCCTCCAGCCCTTCCTCAGACCTGCTGCAGCAGGAACTCAGGGGAGGACTCCACAAGGAGACAGGTGACCCTGCTGTGCAGGGACACTAGGCTCCCTTGACCAGACTCCTCCTGACTCATCCCTCACCCAGGTACCAGCCAGCAGCCAGGTGGTACCCACAAGCATGGCCTGAAGTAGGATGGCGGTACTTCTTGCTGCTGTTACTCAAACTTGCAGATTTCATTTTGTTCTCTTTTTCTAAAAACACACTCTTATAGACTGCTGACTTCCAGGTTTTTCTCTGCACAGGGTTTGGAAGCAGCAAGAAGATAATTATATTCCTTTGTTGATAACATGTCTCATGGGAGAGTGGACTAGAAAGACAGTTTATGCTAAGCCAGGTATGGTGGTGCATGCCTTTAATCCCAGCACTTGAGAGGCAGAGTAAGGCGGATCTCTGTGAGTTCGAGGGCAAGCTGGTCTACATAGCGAGTTCCAGGTCAGCTGGGGCTGTAGGGAGACCCTGTCTTGAAAAGACCAAGAAAAAAAAAAAAGACTATGTGGCATTTTTTTTTTTTTTTCCTTTCTCTTCATTTTTGGCCTCTGGGTGACTGGGCTGGTGATTTTTCTCCTGCTAAGTTGCAGCTCCACCAGATAAAGGAGAGTTGGGGCAGGGAAGGCCCTGGGAAAAGATGCTGGCTTTCTCTGGTTTCTGAATGTACAGACCTGTCCCAAGGGCCTCAGAAGGTTAGGAGCCCAAGGAGCTGGGGTTTGTTCATCATGAGCAGCTCTGGGAACTAGCAGCCCTCATCCACACTCAGCAGCCAGAGGTCAAGGTTGCTGTTACCTGGTTTATTTTATAAGGCACATAGTACTGTCTGCTGTGAGCCGCCTCATCTTGTTTGTAAAGCATAGCTTTTAAAAGTAAGATTTATCTGGAGACACTGTGAGTCTTTTAATTTAAACTTTTATTTAGTTTTTTTTTTCTTTTTTTTGTCTTTTTGAGACAGGGTCTCCCTGTAGTCCCAGCTGACCTGAACTCACTATGTAGACCAGGCTGGCCTTGAACTCACAAGGATCAGCCTGCCTCTGCTTCCAGAGTGCTGGGATTAAAGGCGTATGCCACCACACCCAACTAACTTTTATTTAGTTTTTAAATTCAAGGTCACAGAACAACAACAAAAAAATAGTTTTATGTATTCAGGGGCGCCAGTTTATGCTCCACATCAGAGCGGTGATATCAAAGCACACTGCTTATTCATTCAGAATCTATCCACTGAGCACCTGTCTTGTCATGCTGTGGGCCAGGCTTTGGCAGAGAGACAGTACAGTATGAGCACTAGAAGATGAGCAAGTTACTGGGGAGCTGGACATTTGGAAGAGCACAGGGATGAAGCCCTATGCTGTGGGTGGCATTTCCTCTTTTAAATTGGCTCATCAGGGAGAGATGAGCTGGGTGATTAAGAGCACTTGTTCTTGAAGTTCCTGGGATTGTGTTTCCCTCTTCTGACTTCTGCAGGCACTGTGCATATGTGGTGAGCATACATATATGCAGGCAAAGTACTCATATATAAAAAAATAAAGTCTGAAAAAGTTATGTCATTAAGGGAGGTCTCACTGAGAAGATGGAATTTGGACAAAAGCTTGAAAGAGGCTAGAGATGACAGGACCACCAATCCATACATATTTGCGGGGAAAGAGTGTTCTAGAAGAACAGGTAGCAAGAGTTGAGGTCCTGGGGTCTGGTCTGAGCCAGGCGCTGTGCTGGGCTTTTGATGTAGACTGTTTAATTCGCTGATCTCAACAGTTTCTGGCATCATGCCTGTTTTACTGAGGAGAAACTGAATCTTCGAAGGTAAATTACTTCCCCGAGGCCTCACCTGTGGTCCTGGATATCACTGGCACGTACTCCTGGCAGCTGGGCCTCAGTGCCCTTCCTTCTAGCAGTGTTGCTGAGTCCTTCATAAACAGTCGGAAAACCTATGCTGTTTATTTATTTTGTAAAGAAATCACAGTGAAATTCACATAACACAGTTAACTATTTAGTAGTGAAAATTCAATGGTGTTTAAAATATTTACAACATAGTGCAGCTTCTCTCTTCATCCATTTCCAGTACATTTTCATCACTCCCAAAGGAAATGTGGACCACATAAAGAGTCACTCTGCATCTCCAACCCTGCCCTAGCCCCAGCAGCAACCAGCTTGCATTTTCTCTCTATGGACATACTTATTCTGGATATTTCACATAAGTAAGATCTCTATGTCTTTTAAATTTTTCTGTATACGAGTGTATTGCCTGCATGTGTGTAAGTGCACCCATGTTGTACAATGTCCTCGGAGGTCAGAAGAGTCCAGATTCCCTGGAACCAGAGTTATGGATGGTTGTTAGCCACCGTATAGGTGGTGGGAATTGAACCTGGGTCCCTCTGCAAGAACAGCCACTGCTCTTAACCGCTGAGCCAGCTCTCCAGCTCCTATGTATGTAGGTATGTGTGTATGTATGTATGTGTGTATTTATTTATTTATTTATTTATTTATTTATATATTGGTATTTTTGAGTCAGCATCTCCCTGTATAGACCAGGCTGGCCTTGAACTCACAGAGATCTGCCTGCCTCTGCCTCCCCACTGCTGGGGTTAAAGGCATGCGCCACCATGCCTGGCTATTTATTTATTTTTAATTATTATATCTGTGCCTGTCTATCTCTCTCTCTCATCTATCTATCATCTATCTATCTATCTATCTATCTATCTATCTATCTATCTATCAATCATCTATCATCAATCTATCAACCTATCTATCTATCAATCTATCATCTAGCTATCTAGCTATCCAGACAGGCTCTCATTATGCAGCACTAGCTGGCCTGGTGGTGGAGCTTGGCCAGGGGAGAGTCTGCCCTGTGGCTGCTTTGATGGGGGAATGTCCATGACTCTTCTCTGACTGGCCATGTGGCCAGACTCAGCAGCAAATCTTGGCCTGGCCCTGTTTCAGGACCTTGAGCAGACCATGTGTGCCCTCTCTGCACTTCCCTTGCCTGTAGAACCAGGTGACTTGGCCTTTCCCCTTCCCTAGGTCTTATAGCACTTGCAAGATTTGGTATGTACATTGTATTATGTCTTAAACAATGGTTAACTTTTACTTCCAGGCAGAATATTATTTCATGGCACAATGCCCTTGCTAGAGAGTTTTTCTCTGTCACTGTTAGTCGCTAGAGAGTTTTTCTCTGTCACTGTTAGTCAGTATAGCTAGTTAGAAGCAAAAAAGACTGACATTTGGTTTGTTGGCCTAGGCACCTTCCCGGGCCAAACTGAAGGTGTCTTTTGGGTGTCTGACTCTGGGTAGAGCTTGTGATTTCTCCCCGTCACAGCTTTTCCGTGCTGTTGGGATCTATAGATGCTTACTTTCTGGTCATCTAATGTTTTTTTCCACACATTTATTTGCTATTTATTTATTGTAAAGGGGCATCTATATGCCACGGTGCATGTGTTCAGGTCAGAGGACAACTTTTAGGAGTCAGTTCTCTTCTTCCATGATGTAGGTCCTGGGGGCAGGCTCGGCAGCAAGTACCTTTACCCTTGAGCCATCTTGTTGGCTCTGGTTTCTGATTGTCTCTTAGCTCAGCACCAAGGGTACTTCTGAACCTTCCATGGCTATCTTTGTGGATTTATCTTTTTTATTTATTTTGTTTTTTTGAGATCTCTCTCTGTAGCCTAGACTGGTCTCAAACTCAGTGGCCCTCCTTGCCTCAGCCTCCTGAGTGCTGTGATTACAGAGGTTCGTGCCACACCTGGCTCCTCCATGGGTCTAGCCATGTTTCTTTCCCCTCTTTACACTTGGCCCCTGTGTTGTGCTGGAAATCCTCTGTGCCTCTCGGTGGATGACGGAAGTCAAACTTTTTTTTTTCAAATATATTTGTTTTGGGTTGGCACCCAATGATTGTGCGTATTTATGGGGTGTTGAATGTGACATTTCAGCACACCTGCAGAGTACAGAGCAGGTGGGATGCTTGGCATCAGCAGGTGGGGGTACTTGGCATTGCCGTACCTTAGACCCTTTTTATTCCTTTGTGTTGGGAATATTCAAAGTCCTCTCTCCTAGCTCTTTGGAAATAGTCATTTGTTGTCAGCTGTTGTCACCACCTATGAGTAGGGCAGCCTGTCCTGTCGCCTGTCCTTTCCCCAAACCTGCTGTGCTCTGGTAACTACTGTTCTAGTCTCTGCTTCTTTGAGACCAACCTTTTAACTTCCACGTCTGAGTGAGACCTGTTGATA